AGAGTTTCCTTGAGTTCGTTGACGGTGGGTGCATCGGGCATCTCTTCATTCTCAGGCTTAGACCTCTGAGACGAAGTTGGCGTGGTGGGGGTTTTCCCCTTCGAACTGACGACAGACATGTTGCTTTGTGTGTAAGCCGGTACCTCGTAGAAGTGGTGCTCAAAGTGTAACGCTGACTTCTGAACGATAGAAGACACAGAGGTTCTCTTGCGTAAAGGTTTACTTATCAGAGGAGGCAGGGGATCAGACACAAAGGCTTCAAGTAACACGTTACTAGTATATAACAAATACTGTATTGAGTTGAGCACGAAGCTCCTATCTAAGGAAATACTATCTACTTATATAGTGGCGTCGTGCCTAGTGGACTCTTGCGAACTCACTCGAGTCCTCAGAGTCCTGGACTCTTAGGACTCTTCTCATCATCCTGCGAGTCCATCACGTGCCTAGTGGACTCCTGGGAACTCACTCGAGTCCTCGGAGTCCTGGACTCTTAGGACTCTTCTCATCATCCTGCAAGTCCGTCACGTGATACTTTCGGAACTACTATTCCCCGCTGCCCCTCCAGGTACCAGGGCCGGTCTCATGCGACCTCCCTCCTTCCTGTCCTGTAGTTGGCCAGCCTTCTTGTTCCGTCGTAACATCTGGCAAGTGATAAACCTGTTCCAAGAGTGCCTCCGTTTTACAGCCCGTATCGTCCAGAATCGTGAGCCGGATAGTTCCAACTCCAGCGGCCCGAGTCATGCCTCCAGCAGTTTCGATGGTTAGCTCCTGACTCTCATTGACGGTGTAGCTCTCAAATATAGAGCGATCATGCGTCATATGGTGGCTGGCGCCGGAATCGAGTATCCAGTCGGGCTGTTTAATGGCTCCGATTGACACAAAAGCTGCGATCAGGGCAACGGCTTCCTTTTTCCGGTCGGCGATAAGCTTTTTGATATGCTCAGGTATGAGCTTTGGATATTTTATCCAGCATTTATCCTCGCTGTGGTTAGGCTTTTCACAATGCGCGCAGAGCTCTTTAATTCTGGGTTCATTCTGAGCCCCTATTCTGCTTCTGCCGCCATGGCTGCCTCCACAATTTCCGCCCCTGCCGCCATTTTTCCCACCCGTTTTTGGGGGTTGGTTCCCATATAGAGCGACAGCTCTTTCGTCGGCGACGAGTCTCGAGCGGCTTTCTTCTAGAAGCCTGTCCATTAGGTCATCTAGATTACTGATCGTTGGCATCTTTCCCAGCTCATATTTTCTCATTTTGCCCCTGTATTTGTCCGCCCAGGTAGGAAACGTAGCCTGGACAGCTGTAATGGTGGGTGCACCAGATGTGAGAATCTAGCCACCCAAGGAAGGGATGAATTTACTAAGACAACACACTGTCTTAGGAAACAGAGCCAAAGGGTTGTAGCTTAGACTATTCCACAACGCAGCAATCAGGTGTATGATGTGGTGAAGTGGTTTAGACAAGTTGCAACAAATGTTGAGTCTGAGAACTCAGGGGTAAGTCAGAGGTTAGCACCTCACTGACTTTTCAAAAACAGAGAATAACAAGATCAATGCTTGGAAACTTGGAAAAGACGTAGAAGTATGTGCTAGTCGATTTACTGTATTGCCTGCTTGCCCTTTCTTAAGGAAAGGGCAATCCTATTTATGCCAAAGGAGTGTAGTTCTCTCATTTTCCATGACTTTCCATGACTAACCAGGCTTGGTAAATGTATTAGAAATCAAGTGCGACCCACAACTAGCTTGCTAATCATGTAGTGAACGTAAGAGAATCCCATAGAACCATCTCTTGGGTTCCTAGCCTATAGGAAGTGAAAAGGAGGTCCAAGGTCAGAGTACCTATAGACAAATTATGTCATAACTTAACCAATCTTGTGGGTAACTAAGGAGCGATGACGTGTAATGAATCATAGAGGGTTGTAGAAGCTTCTAGAGCTATCGTTCATGTTCCTAGGCCTCTAGTTGGTAGAGATATGCCATGTGGTAGTATTGGCCCACCCCCTTAAGGAGGAGATTTTCTTAATAACTTGTTCAATGAGTGTCTAAATGATATGCCGTGATGTATGTAGCATAAACAGATGTAGTAGAAGAGTTTGCAGCAATCGTTGAGTAGTATTGCTTCTGTTGTTGGTGTGATAAGCCAAGATATGTATGGTGACTTGTAGGTTTGAGGAGGAGATTTCTAAGTTTGCTCTTGAGTTTGATAGCAAACTGAGTGCAACGAATGTCAGTATGACAACAGTGTTCAGGTAATGCAGCATCGACATGGCCGCTGGGACTTCAAGTCCTGCTCCTTTGAGCTGCGAGTTTATATTTTTGAGCCGGATATTGAATGTAGCGACATCTTCTGGGTCAAGCGTCAGGGTATACCAGTCATCGAAGGCCTGCGTCAAGATGTAATTGGCCTTTCCTTTGTACCGGTTTTCGAGCAGTATCCAGGCTTCAGCAGCATTGACTGTCACTCTGATCGTGTGTATCAGAGCTACAGGTGGCTTCGATGATCGAATAGGCCTGGGCATTGCCCCTAAACCATATGATAAAGGGCTCTGATTTATTGCCGATGCCTAGTTCTTCGTTTGGATTGGCCGCCGTGGGCTTTACCCCTTTTTCCACACCGAGAGCGTATTCGATGACGCCCGCCTGGGCTAGTGTCTGTTCAATTCGTCGCTTCCATGATAGGAAGTTGGCGCTGCCTTTGAGCTTCTCATGGCTCTTCAGGGTAGTGAGCAGATGCTCTGTCGTCATTCTAGGCCAGTGATGCTGCTGGCGATGACAGTATCGATGCGACGGTTTGGAAGCTTCGATGCTTCAATTGATCGATATTTTGGTTATAAGATCTCTGCACTGATCCCGGGCTCATAACCTGTTGGACAATATCCGTAGGGCAGTAGGTAGAGAATATAAGCCGAAAATACAGTCACGAAGCAGTAGGGCCCGAAGTGATAATTTTATAATGCATGTTTTTATAATTGAAGCTATTCTAAGTACTATATATACTGTTACGGGTGTGCCTATTCGTGGTTCGGATCCTAAAACCCTCCTGGTTTGGCTGACACAGCTTCGGTATCAGGGCCCTGATCCATGCTTCCGGGCCGAGGATTCAACAGATATTCCTCATTAGGAACAAACCGAATGTTACCTTTGACATCTGCCGCATCAAAATTTGGCTTGGACAGTTCATCGGCCACGTTGGAAAAAGATTGCGCCATGCTTGCTAGGGTGCTTGCATCGAACCAGAATATTGCAGAAAACCATTTCTCATTCTGTCCCTGTCGACAGTATTCGAGTGCAACCTGGGTCTTGCCGCATCCACCCATACCATAAAGGACAGCGATCGTTGGTGCTGACTTATTTTGCCTGATTTGAAAGTAGTTCTGGATAGTTTCTTTTATTGCGTTTTCTAGATTGGAGGCTTTCAAGGTCCCTCTTTTCCAGGGGCCTTCTTCTCTGAGAAGACTTGTTTGGTCAGGGCTCGATACGTATCAATAGCTTCGGGAACTGATAATCGGAGACAGCCGAGAAGAATAACAATAAGTTTATGCAATATTAGAATAACTCACCGCTACAACTTCAGCTATGGATGGATACTCCCGCCAGTGCTTGTTCCACAGATCATATCGAAGTAGTCAGTCGATAGCGGCGTCTCCACTTTCAAAGCCCGGCCAACACGGTGCATGATTTCCTGAGTATTACAAGCTCTGAAATGCCTCTGATTCCGCCGCCGTCTAAAGAGAGGAGACGGAGAGGCCGATTCAGCGGTTCTGGCGGCGAAGACTCCTCCATGTCGGCAAAGCTGGATCTTAAGTACTGCAAAAATGATGTATAATTTGAGATTCTTGATTCATCAAAGTTGGTACACTCCAGCTCTCTGTTCGAAGTGTATCGCAGGCGCATGAAGTCTCAAACAAGAATAATTGCGAAGTTTGGGATGTTCAGCTTCTCTTGTACGGAACATCATCGCAGCCTTCTCTTACACTCAACGCCAACGAAGTTGACCTGTATAAATATCACTCTGTAGCCTCATCGAATAGACCAGACTTCCCATGATGGCATTTTTTCCCAACACGTTCCATATATATATGGGCACGCCCTACACAACGGTCTTGATGATCTAGACAAGCAAAATCTGGGGTTTGCACGCTCCTCACATCCCCATATCATGAACTAACCTTCTCAGTAGCGCCTTTTACTCCTATTAATCGTGTTCACGTAATCCAGGCCTAGATCCAGTAGTGCTTCTAGGATCTACCCCCTAATTTAGGAGCCACGGTGGCGACTAGCTTACCCGCTATCCGCCCGCCTAGGCGCGGTGTTTGCTTCTGGATGTCGGCTTTTGGAACCCTCGGAGCTAGCCTTTGAAAATGTGGGGTCTGGATTAACTTAGGGAAGCCAGCAGATGCCGTGATATCATATCCGCCGAAACGGTGTTTGCTGGTGGGTTTGCGAGACGAAAACCAAAGACCAGGAACGTCACCGTGAGATTTGAGGGGCAAAATATGAGAAAGACTCCATACAAAACTTAAACTAAAGACAGAAATATCATATGGTTGCCTCGATAAGGTCAAGCAACGTGAGATAAGGACCCAAGTTACCACGTACGCGGCGATTGCCCCTTAATTAGCGCGATGAGCGCATCCGGGGTTTGGATCGGGGACTGATATTCGTCCGGCGATTGTGATCGGGGACTGATATTCGTCCGGCGATTGTGATCGGGGACTGATATTCGTCCGGCGATTGTGATCGGGGCTGATATTCGTCCGGCGATTGTGATCGGGGACTGATATTCGTCCGGCGATTGTGATCGGGGACTACTCCGTCGGTGACTACTTCGTGTTTCAGACGCTCGATATCATATATGCATCCCACGGTGGTTTACCTGGGGTTTGTAGGCGCGGGTAATACATCAGTATATATGAATTGGCCAGTGTTTATGATTCGAACCGCCCCTTTTTTAACTCAAAACCCCACAACTCTCGCGAAATTCTCACATCCCATAACCAAGCACAATGTCAACGCCTACCAAGATCACCCGCGGCTGCCTCTGCAAAGCCGTCAGATACGAGGTTAACCTCCCCGAAGATCACGACTTCAAAGCCAGCGTAAGACCCCTTAGTTGAAACCATTTCCAACTCATATTTCTTTAAAATTTTTGTCTCCATTCGTCAGGTCACACCTCTCCCGTTAGTAGCCTGCTTCTGCGCCCTTTGCCGCAAGCAATCCGGAGCCGTCGCCTTGCACATCCACATTCTACCCCGCAGCAGCTTCACCTAGACCTCCCCATCCGCCCCGCCGCTCCACTCGCCAACTACCAAGTCATCAAAGATAACATGCGCTGGTTCTGCACATCGTGCGGCTCATATCTCGCGTGGGAGGGCAACGGGATCAAGGGAACGAGGTGGAAGTTCTCTGTTGCTCATGGGGTCAGGGGATAAAGGGGGTAGGTTCGAATAAGGTATAAATATGAGTTATGAGGCACGATTAAATGGCAACATACCATGCAACTTTACGTGCTCATCCTCAACTCCCGTGACAGCGTGATACGGAGCATTATTTCCCCGCATCAAGTGCTGAACACGTCGTCCGACATACGCGACCCGAACCGCCGCCAAGTGAATGACATGACTAACACTTGAGGTGGGATGCCTGTCAGCAACTGAGCTTATTACTACAGCTGCGCGTCATTTGCTTTTCAAAAGCAAACATATTTCCAAACAAGCATTCTCTCGAATCAAATATAAAATAGAATCATGCAGGAAAAGCTGCCAGTCAAAGCCGCGGGCGGCTGTCTCTGCGGCGCAATCAGATACAGCGTCGTCTTCCCTCCAGGCCACGATTTTGCCATGAACGTATGTCTTCAATCCATTCCCAATTCATCTGACTCACCTCTTCACCCCTCCATCCCCCAATCCCAACTTTTTTTAAAAAAAAGCCCCGCTGACCCCCTCCGCCAGTCAACCAAATGCCTCTGCACCGCATGCCGCAAGCAATCCGGCGCCATGATGCTTCACCTCCACACTCTCCCCCTCTCCTCCTTCTCCTGCGTGGCCCCCGCCTCGGAGCTAGGCGACTACAGCTGCTCGCCCGGTTACCACCGCCTCTTCTGCAAGCGCTGCGGCTCCTTCATTGCCTGGCGCCAGGACCCGCGCCTGTGCTGCGACGTTCACGGGCTGGCTGACATCGGAGGCTCGCGCGCCACACGCCAGGCGCTCGATGGGATGATTGATTGCGCGCCTGCGCACGAGGAGGGCGAGGTTGAGATCTGCGTTGGCACATTAGACGAGGAGTTTCTTGTTGGGCGCCGTGGATCGGGCGGGAAGGTGATCCCCGGGACGGGGTATGGGCATTTGCTGGGACACCCCGAGGGCAGGATTCTTTGGGCGGAAAATGATATTATGGGAGTCACGGATCGGCTGACTGGGGTGAGGTATCAGAATAACAGTGCCAATGGGCTCAAGATCAAAGAGCACTGATCAACTAGGCTTGGAGGGGACGGAGGGTTAGGGGGAAACGGAAAAGGAGGGGGGTTGAGTAATGGCTAACTAAGTGAGGGCTCCAGATGCGGGATGCCGACTCTGGTGTATATATCACCGTAGACTCTATCTCAGAGACACCTGAACCGCGTCCCCCGCGTTTCACCATCCCGTTCACGAAGAGAAAAATCGGCGAAGGCGGCGCTCAGCGCACTTACCGATATCGGACGTGCGGCTGCGGCGCCACGGGCCTGGTCCGCAGCTACTCTATCGCAGGTGCGGCCGGGTTGGCAGGGAGGGCCAGGCACACCACTCTCAATAGGCATGGGGGGGTGAGGTGTTACCATTAGAGTTTGGGAGCGAAAAGGGGGGGAGTCGGACTTGGGTCAGCAACGGTCCGACTGGACAGTACAGCACTGCGCTATCTATGTGCTACATAACGCATGGGTGGGAGAGGAGTCAGCTCCATGCGAATGCCGAAGGGGGGGTATGTGGAGCGAAGATGCAGCTCTAACTCCGATCACAAGTCACGTTACAGAATTGAGTCACAGAAGAAGTGACTAGCGTACTTTCTCCAATTCATAACATCTACACGCCGCTAGGGCAACATAAGGAAAATCCAAAGACAGTGTATATATTGTTACATGCGCCGCATACCCTTCTAACTGAACTCCTTCACCTCCTCGTCCTCCTCCAGCATCTGCCTGAAGCTGAACGGCTCGAATGCAATTCCGTCGCCCATGAAATGTTTGCTCATCGCCTCGACCCAGTGCAGACGCAGCGAGTGCAACATAGCACTCGTGCCCTCCATGACGACGAGCACGCAGACACTGAGGAAGAACCACATGTAGAACGTTACGACAAGGGTAATCACTCCGCTGATACCGGTTGAGTTCAATCCGTTGTTAAGGGTCATAGACCACAAGACAAGGGAAAGCTGTTGATGCGCGAGCGAGAGGGCCCAGAGACGGAGGTAGGACGCCGTGTGGGAGACGCAGTTGAGGCAGAATTCTAGTATTTGTTAGAGTGGGTAAATGAGAAAGGGGGGAAGGATTGCTTACCAATAGTGTGGATAACTTGGTGGATCATAACTTCGCCAAACTCGAACTCCTCATGGCCTTCGGCGTCATTGTCGATGCCCTGAGTAATCATATCTACACCCTCCGTCTCACTAGCAATGCTAGCACGACGGTCATCATCGTCTCCATCGAGAGCACTGATGCGCGACGTCTCGCCGATTCCGCGGTAACCCTTGGCGCGGGCCTGGTTATTCTCCCAGCGCAGATAAAAGGGCTTGAGGAAGAGCAGGATGGGGACCTGGATAATAGCAATGACGACGAGGAAGTTCTGAATGATCTTCTGGTACGTTCCATCACCGTATAAAGGCACATCAATAGTGCCGGGTTGGAGGAACATGTAGATCAGCATATTCAGCAGTCCAGGTGGATTCCTGTGGTTAGGCGCTTGCACGCCGGCAGGCCAGTCATCAGGCGCCAGCGGGTACCAATCGGTTGACCACTTGTAGACGATGGTGAACACAAGGTATCCGAAGATAGATTGGAAGAAGATCATGCCCGGGATAAAATTACCCCAAATATCGATCGGGGACTTGAAGCGACGAGCGTTGATATAGGAGAGGCACAGGGAGTAGGTCATGTGGCACCAACCCATGAGGATACTGAGCTTCATCTTGTAACTGTTTGCAAAAAGAAGCTCGTTCTCAGCTCCGTGCCACATCCAGTCAAGACCGAACGGGTATCGGTGTCCATCGCGATTCAGGTGCGCTACGACCGTGTCCCCTTTCTTGAAGTCTGTAGGCCATTCCCAAGCAGACGAGAAGAGGGACATCGATCGCGAAAAGATATCGTTGTAAATGAGACCGGTGTACATAGAGAAGATTCCCATCATAAGCATGATATAGCGACCATAGTAAGCCATCGTGAACAGTTCGTCCCGAACCTTCTTCAGTGGTTTTTCCCAGTAGATCATGGCAGCTGCCGCGCAGAACATGATAAAGCCATGTCCAAGATCACCGAACATGACGGCGAAGAGGAATGGAAACGTGACGATGGTAGGCAATCCAGGGTTCACTTCGTGATACTTCGAGGTACCATAAGCATTGATAATGGTCTGGAAGCCTTCTGTGAATCGGTTCGTCTTTTGGAGAGTTGGTGGTGTCTTATTTGTCCGGATCTCATTGATGATAGATGGGACAGTTAGACCGGCCCGATTATTGACGTCTTGAAGGGCGGCCTTGATCTGAGGGAGGGAGTTCGACGGGCACCAAGCTTCCGCAATAAGAGTCTTCCTTGCATGATCAAAGGATAGGAGGTTGAGCGTTTCATAAACAGCCTTCTCCTTCTTGATGATCACGATCCAAGCTGCCAAGCTGCGAGCGATCTGTGTCAACTCAGCATCGAGAGTCTGCTTGGTGTTTCGCAGGACGCTTCCGAGATCACTGAGTCGAGTGTTAACTTCGTGAATCTGGTCTCGGCGCAGGTCGCTGTTCTCGTCCACATTGTATAAATCGGCTCCCAGGGACTCGGAGATCTTCCGGATCTTTGCGATAATCTCCTTTCCGTGTGCAAAAATGACAAAGACATTTTTATCCACTCTTTCATTGTTTGTCGGGTCGACAAGGGTTTCGGGGATCTCTGACTGGTTCATATATAAGTTGCCGCGGAGCGTGCGCCACAGGATCCTCTCGAAGGCTGCAACACGTTCGCGTGGGATGACGCCGGAAACAAAGCCAATGTTCATGATTGACAGAGATCGCTCGCCAGCCTCGCCATTTTGTGGGTGCTGTTCGACATCTTGGAGTAGAGGCGCATCGTCGTCCTGGTCGATAGACGTCCGAAGTTCATCAACATTGCCATGCGCCCTATCGAAGAATCCTCCGGCCTCTTTCAACACCCATCTCCACTCTATCAGCTCCACCTCTCTCTTCTTCAGCGTCTCGTAGCTATCGTTTAACGAGGCGACCCTTTGCTCGAGGCTTTGGCTTCGATCGGAAAGCTCGTCGATTTCGGAGGTAGATGGCGCAGCCAGGGACTCGATGTCCAAATCGAGTTTTCGTAGAGGAATTTCAGCCTTCTCCATCTGTGAGTGAAAGTAGCCTGCTTGCGTCAGCGATTATCCCTCCAGAGGTCACCAGGGGACATACGAAGCTGTCGCTCGACGTTATCTAACCGCCGAATCTCCTGTGTGAAGGTACGTTGGAAGGCCGACGTTTCCGAGTTAAGCTACGAGCACCATCAGCATATGAGCCACACTTGTCTCCATTAGCAATACTCACGTCGCGGAATTGGATCTGTCCAATCTCGCCCAAAGCGTTGATGACCTCCCTGCCTATCTCGTTGGCGACGTACAGTTGCACCATGCTCATGTCCACCGAGCGGAACATGGTATCCTTTGCTGGCGCCATGATGGCCGACTCAGAGAAAGGAGCTTGAGAAGGGAAAGGTATCGAAATGTGAGAGGGTCCCTTGGAGCTTCGACCGAACAGAGTGATGGTATCCGTTGCAGTGACTGTAGCTACCTAGCGGATATCGGGTGACTAAGCCGCCACAACCAATCAGTCACGGGAACCCGTGACTTACAGGCAGTTATTATCATACATCGAGTGTCATGTTCACCAAGAATAAATACTACTTTATACTATTAATTATGAATGGTTTTTACAATCTAACTCTTTTGCTTCCATTATTTTCGACATCTATACATAATGTAACTTGCAATATATTTCGTCACCAACAGTGTCGAGTAAACGTGCTCCGGGCGCCAAACTTGCTATGAAATCCAGAACTGTGTGGGGTAGTACCGGTATCATCTTATTAATACATCTTTGCTGACTTCGGTCTCGCTTTAACAGCTCCTCCCTCCTTGTCGTCACCATACTTCCTCTGCCACTGCCATTCAATAAGCACGGGCAAGAAGTGTCTTAGGCTGAACTCCGGCCAGTAGCAGTCTAAAAATCTAAGCTGCGTGTCTTCGTGGCATTGCCAGAGCATAAAATCGCTAAGACGTTTCACGCCGCTTGTCCGGATCAGGAGATCCAGGGGCGGGTTTCCGGCAGTAAACAGATGTGCCTCGACCGTCGCAGCGGTGATGCTCTCTGGGTCCGGATACGTGGGCTCCTCTGGATTCGGGACATCCGAACTCGACACAGAGTCAGGATGGAGCGTCGCGCTCGAGGAAATGGAGTCGTCAAGTTCGGTTCCAGCTCCTGGGACCTCAACCCTCGTAGGCGAGGCCTGGCGGGGCGGCGAAGAGGAGGAGGATGTCAGGTTTCGTGACCGAAGCTTCTGGGCGATACGCCTTTCAGAAAATGGGCGCTTTGGGGTGGGGAGTGGTGTGGATAGCTCATCAACTGTTGAGCGGATCGCGGTTGTGATCTCATCACGGGAGGTATATGGGAAGCAGATATTAAGTATGGCACTGAGTCAAGTTAGCTGACTGAAGATCTTCCATAGAGGATACGGGATAGACGAACTCTCCATTCCCTCGTGTAACCTCGACTGCATTGTTGCAGGCTTCAAGTATATCGGGCCTGATCAGGTCGCGCTGCCCCAGTATCCTGATGCTTGCTCCGTACTGATCCAGTAGCTCCCCATGCTGTGATATTTGTGCCAGCTTGACCTTGAACAAGTCCATCAGCGCATCGACCTCGTATTTCGACCTCTTAAAATTCTCGATGCTGAATGCGTAGACTGTAATAACTTTGACGCCTAGTTTGTAGCAAACTTCCAGGATCTATGCGCGAGTTAGCATGTCCATACCATAACTGATGGGGTATTCACCAACCTTAGCTAAAGACTCGAAGCCCAGGTTGTGTCCTTCCGCAGTCTCTATCTTGTGGCTCCGCGCAAACCGACGGTTCCCATCCATGACGAATGCGATGTGCTGAGGAACTGGTCCCTGGCTCACGGCGCCTATAAGCAGCTCGCGCACCTGGTTCATGCCCCATTCAACTGGCGGGGAGGAATAGACCCATTTCCGCAACTGATTGAGATGCATAGACGTCATGTTGGCGGATGGGTCTTTCTCAGGCCATCCGGGTCTTGGAGCTGTGGAGGTCGAGATAGCAATTGGGCATACGCTTCGAAATGTGTACAGCTAACAATCCTCTGGTGGTTTATAGTGAAAAGCGGTTATGCGTGGTCATGAAGAGTTGTCCAAGTACCTGGACGTGGACTTTTTGAAGTTGGCGAGGCTGGGGGTTGAGAGACAATATGTGGCTAAGCCTTACGCATACGACACTCTCGGGTTAGCCCGTACGCGCCATCATCGACTGTGGCCTTGGTGATATGTGGCAATCAACAGCTATCTTCAGATCTCACCCCCCACCGCTATTGCGAGTTTCCCCTATCACATAGAGAGCTCAACTTCACATAAGCTCACCAACAGCTTCTTACCTTCGTATGCGGTCGCATTGAGCTGTGCTCGGCGACATTGCGCATATCGGTTTCACCCACCATGCACTCCTCAGGTTTCGCCGGTGCGCCTGTGTCCCGCAGCCTCGTCCTGGGAATCATAGCCGCGTCCATCTTGGTCTCCGTCACTGATATCAAATACTACTTTTGGATCCAAGTCGATCCGCACTTCTGGAAGTATGGTCAGCTCTGGCGCGCATTTATATATCAGCTCTGCTACACCAACTCGAGCGAGGTTCTCATGGCCGCCATGACGCTGTATAGTCTTCGGGGCATCGAACGGCTCTGGGGTTCGCGCAAATTCGCCGTAAGTCTTCTGCTCTAATAAAGCTGCCGGTTACATGGTGGTTGGATATATGTATATGGCTAATTCAATGCAGTCCTTTCTCCTCGTCCTCTTTCCTCTAACGGCGCTCCTGCCCCCAATCATACTCGCCCTGGTCATCCGGCCCCTCTCATTCAACAGAATCAACTACCTCCCCGCGGGCCTCACTCCTCTTATATATGCCCTCCTTGCGCAATACTATGCAGCCATCCCTCACACATACAAGTACCGCATCGCTACGTCGCCTGCCCCGCCCGCCAATGCGCCATTTGTTGGCCTTACCTTCTCGGACAAGTCCTATACCTATTTATTAGTAGGCCAACTTGCTCTGGCTCAGTTTCCGGGGTCATTACTCGGAGCTGCGATTGGGTGGGCGGTGGGATATCTCTGGCGGAATGAAGTCTTGCCTAGAGTGATGGTTTCCTGGCGCATTCCAGGGTGGATGGTTGGAATTGCACCACAAAAGCGCGGCGAGGGGTTTGAGGGGCTCAGGAGGAGGCTCGAAGAGGAGAATACAAATGCTGCCGCAGCCACAGGCTCAGATGGCCGTCAGGGAGGGAACGTGGCTCCGCGAAGGACGCTGGGAAGGCAGTTAGTTGACCAGTTTAGAGGCGCGTTCTAGATGGCTACAGTATAAGTTAAATGTTATATGGACAATGGACAATGACGTGTGAAATTCGGACTCAATAAATATTCGAATATAATATAAAGTTGATAATAAAATGTTTAATTCTACGTTGATAAATTAATTATCTACACAAAAAGGCAACCAATTAGTGCAATTGAAACTGTCATAATAGCTAATAAACCCCACTTCATATACTAATATTATTTTAATTATTTTTGCATTTATAGTACACAGATATTTCTTTTATGGTGCTATTTACGTACGTACCTTGGAGCTATTAATGCTGGCGTGGCATTGTTATCCGTCTGGTAAATCCAACGGTATGTTTGCACTGAAGACAAACACACCTTTTGGTTGCGACCATCAGCCCTCCCCATTCCCGCTCTTTACCCTCTTGTTCCAGCGCAAGAAATTACCCATGATCCCATGAATTCCATGGTGAATTACCGCTATTCTCTATGCTTCATACTCAAAGAATAACAGAGCAGAATACGTATCTCTGACCTTAGTTACTACACATCGTCGCACACAGGAGCTCCCGATAACCTCTGCCCACCACCAGACGTCGACCATCATCGAAACACAACTACCAGAACACGATGAGGACGGCACGACAAATGCCCCCCGATACATCATCGGGTCGCAGGGCCCAGCCTGTTCGCCAGACTCGAGCAAACCCACCAAGAGCTCACAGTGGCCTCGGGCGCTCATTCAGCGCTCGCGATGCCTCCGGACGCATTTCCCCCGACGAGGAGGAGCAGACCGAAATCTATCCTGCACTCACACATTTCGCCGACGCTATAACTGCATTACCTAGAGAGCTTGTTCGACACTTCACACTGCTCAAGGAAGTTGATGCGAAAATTTTTGCGCCAGAAGAGGCGCTGGTCCAACTCGTCGAGACGGCCCTCAACCACCCACTACCAGCCCGATCACAATCTACAGACAGACTACAGATAACAGACTCAACTCCAACCCCTGGCAGTGTCCCTATGAGCGTCAATGGCTCAATTGCAAACGGCCGAAATACTTCCACGTTTGATGACACCGACAACCCAGATGGTGCGACTGCGATTTATGACGCAGACAACCTTCCTCGCCGCCAGCTCTTCCGACAATGCGCCTACACGATGCAAGAGATGCTAGTATCCCTCGACGAAAAGAACCACGTAATATCCACTGCGACCGAGGCTCTCGATAAGCACCTTGCGAGGTTGACCGACTGCCTTCCTTTCGTCGAAGGCGAGATTAGCGAAGAGGCGCGACACGGCAACACAAAGCATTGGGCATACACCGAGAACAGGGTCGTCAACAAGCCGAACGAGAGATCAAGGCGCGAGAATGCGAATGTCAACCACCTCACAAATGCCGCCGCTGCAGCTGCGGCTGAAGAAGCAGCAGCCCGCAGCGACGCCAGGAAGCAGGCGATGCTTGCGAAGAAAGGGCGCCAACAGCTTGCCGAGTCGGACTTTGATGACAACACCGATCACCGCAAGGACAATAAGAGGCCCCATGGCAACACAAAGAAGGGCAGACCGGCCGACACATCGAATTCTGGTGGTACTACAAATAGTGGCGGCGCGCACGGCAATCCACCGTCGAAGAGGCGCAAGGTCGACAAGGGACCGAATGGAGGAGCAGTTATAGAACGATCAATTAGTAGCGTCTATGGGAGCAATGGAGTTGGTGCTAAGGGCAAAACCAACAGTCCCCACGGCACACCACTTACCGACTCGAAGAAACGATCAAAGGCGGCGGCGACTACGAATGGCCAGCCAAGGAAAAGGTATGTCACCCAATGGAATGCGATAACTTACATGTTAATATTGATCGCTTAGGACTGCTGCGGCGAACTCGAATGTCATGTCCCCCAGGCTTGCATCGTCTCCCGTCCGCAACTCAGTGCAAGAAACCAAGAACAACCGAAACTCCCCCCCTCCCGCCAACGGCCGACCCACCGCCATGCGAGCGCGACAGAACTCCCTCCAAAACGTCGTGGACTCCTATCGCCCGCGCGCATCCTCATCTGCATCAATCAAACCCAACGGCATCAACACCCTACCGGACCTTACCAACGCCTCTAGCGTCACCGGGCGCCCCATCCCCGAAATCAAAACATCAATGAAGGAAACCGCCGCCAACACCAAGGGCGAACACGTCCTCGAAGACGCCGACCCCACCGACCCCGCTATGCGCGGCGCCCTCCTCGCTGGTCCCCGCAAAGATGGGCCGCTTAAGCATGAGGATCTCGAGTCCGCCGCCGACGCTGCGCAGACTGTACAGACTGTCACGGCGCCACCCGTCATGACGAAGAGCGGGCGCGCGAGCAAGCCATCTACGCCTGCTATGCCGACGCTCGCGGAGCCTGTGCGCGCGGGTAGTAGGCGCAACACCGTTGACGGCGGGGCGGCGAAGAGGTCGCATAAGAAGGGGGCTGGACAAGCGGCGCTGCTTGTTGCTGCGCAGCCTGCTGAAGAGGACGCGGGGAATAGCGTGCTAGGTGATGCGGAGGACGATGAGGAGGTGGAGGTTGATGCTAATGAGCCGCGGTACTGCTACTGCAATGGTGTCAGCTACGGGGAGATGGTGGCGTGTGATAATGATGCGTGTGCGAAGGAGTGGTTCCATATGGAATGTGCGGGACTGAAGGTGGCGCCGAAGAATGGTGAGTTTCCCTCCCCCCCTTCCTTCTCTCTGTCTATGTCATGACGATGTCGACGGCTTGCTAACACTGTCAGCAGCAAAATGGTACTGCGACGACTGTAAGGAGAACATGAAGAGCCGGCGTTTTAATGGGCGGTAGGCTAGGCTGGTGACGGAGATCCCAGACCACTTTCTTCAACGATATGGATCGGACAACACGGCGTTTTGTTATTTGCCACGGAACCAGGCCGGCCGGCTCTTCTACTCTGGCGCTTATAGGGCGAAACACACAAACACACAAACACACACACACACACACGGTATATAGAGAAGGAAAGGAGGGAGTGAGGGCCCACCAGATGAAAATAGGGAAACCTGGATACTTTTCTGTGTGTCTATAGTTGTCTTTCTTTCCTTGTGTTTTTTTGTTTTTGTGGTTTTTTTGGGGGAACCCAACCCCCCTCCAGCGCAGACGCAAGTTCCGTGGAACAGGATATAACGAGTGTAACGTAAATAAGTTTTTCTGCACAGCCCACTGCAACAGACAGACAGATCAATACATAATGACCAGAATATATCGCTCTTTCTCTGGCATGCATCGTGCTAGAACATCACTGTTGCCTCCTCCGCTTATCGCCAAGCTCGCCCCAGCCAGCCGCCACCTCATCTCCCGCCCCGCCCCGCCCCGTTGCCAACATTACTGTCGATGCGCTCCACCCCTATGCGCCGCCGCCGCCTATCTGCCGTCCCCCGAAGCTGGAAATTAAATCAGGGCAGCAGCGCAAGGGGATGGATGGTAGGACAGGACCAACAACGGCGGCGGTGGAGACTTCAATCTCCCATCCCATATGCGCTTTCCTTTCTTCGAGAACCTACGCGCGATTTGTCGCGATATCTCATTCCTGCGCGCCTGGTAATCGACGATAGAAGGCAGCTACCAACGGATCGAAGCGCCCACCACCACACCCAGGGCAAACCGCGCACCTTGAGAAACCAAACTCGCCGCGCAAGACCACCACAATAACTATGGCGACAGCAGACCCCTTCGCCAACCCCCCCTGGGAAGGCAACAACGCGCACCTCCCCACGCACCCATCGCCCACAGCATCGCAATCCTTCCAATCCTCTGCCGCGCTGTCCATCAGCGCGGACGAGAAAGCCATTGAGAGCGGTGCGCCCTATGCCGCAGCGCCTACGTATATAGCCCCTGCGACTACAGCGCCACGGCCCGGGTTGAAGGAGAGGCTCGGTGGGATTATGTCGCCTAATAGACAGTATCTGGGACGCAGTCGACGGACGGTGTTGCTAGGTGCTCTGGGACTGCTGGCGTTGCTTGTTCTGGTGCTAGGGCTGGGGCTTGGTCTTGGATTGAAGAAGGCGGAGGGAGATTCGTTCGTGCACCTTTACCTTTTGAGTTATTTGATTTTTGTACATGGCTAACATGGAGCAGCGCCGCCCTCCCACTTCCCGGAAACGCAACACCGCACATGGGAGATCTAACATACTACTCCCCCGGCCCGGGGTTCGGGAGCTGCGGCCTTGAAAACTCCTCCTCCGACCCCATCTGCGCCGTCTCGCACCTCCTCTACGACGCGGCCTCGATATCAGGGAATCCGAATGAGAATCCGCTGTGTGGCAGGAAATTGAGGGTGACGCACACGGATGCTAGGGATGGGAAGACGAGGAGCGTGGATGTCAAGGTGGTGGATCGCTGCACGGGGTGTAAGGCGACGGATATAGATCTTAGCCCGGGGATGTTCCTTAAGCTTGCGGCGGAGGAGGAGGGGAGGGTGGTGGGGACGTGGGCGTGGTTGGATTGATTGATACCAATAGTGTAGTGAAGGAAGGGAAGTGTCTGTCGCCTTTAGCGAGTATAATTGAAAATCTAATATCCCCCCCCTTCTCTCTACAATCCTCCTCCCTCCCTTTTCTTCATTTCCTAAATCTTTTAAACGCCTCACCCACCCCCATCCCCCCCCCACCGCCTCCTTAACCCTCCCATCCGCCACCGCCAACCCCGGCAACAGCGCCAGCACCTCTCCCACCTTTTCAGCGGGGATAACCACAACCCCATTCCCCGGATCCGCGACAACCACATCCCCAGCCTTGACACTCACGCCTCCAACTTCAACCACAACATCAACTGCATGCGCTTTCACACCGCCCCCGCTCCCTACTGTAGACGTCCCGAGCGACCAGACCGGTAGCTCCACCCCCCTAATCTCTCCCACGTCCCTAACGCGGCCATGCGCGATCACAGCACGCACGCCGCGGTACTTCAGCCGCATTGCCAGGATCCCCCCCAACATCGCGGCGTGAGAGGGGGGGCCGGATTGGATTAATATCGTATCCGTAGGCACGAGATCCGTCCAGTGCGTTCCGGCGGGGATGTTGGACGGCGGCGCAGGAGAGGGTGTAGATGCTGGTGGCGGGGGGTTAAGGGGGAGGTAGAGCAGTGTTGAAGCTAGAGCGACGAGGGGGGATGCTGACGCGGGGGGGAGATGGGGGAGAGGTCGGGGATGAAGCCGCCGTGGGGGAGGCGGAGGGCGAGGAGGGCGTCGGAGATGTCGCAGGCGGAGTAGGCGGATAGGGCGGCGAGGGTGGCGGGGGTGGCGGGGGTGGACATTGTGAAGTTGAAGCGGGTGGGATGCAGATTGTGGTGGGGCAGGCTGGTTGTGGTTGTGAGGTTTTCTGAGGGTGGAGAGATTTGGAGTGGTGGTGGAGGAAGAGGAGGGAGGGGAGGGGGAGAGGATGATATGGCGATAAGGTCTGATAACGGCTCAAAGTGGTACCTGCCAGATATCTGGCCAAGTAGCCGAGTGAGTGTACGATCCTCGTCTCAGCCATAGAGCCATAGAGCCCATACGAATACAGTCCATACAGTCCATACAGTCCATACAGTCCATACAGTCCATACAGTCCATACAGTCCATACAGTCCATACAGTCCATACAGTCCATACAGTCCATACAGTCCATACAGTCCATACAGTCCATACAGTCCATACAGTCCATAAAGTCCATAAAGTCCATACAAGTTCATACAGCTACTGCTGCAGTTACTGCTGCAGTAGTACGTGCAGAACACCGATTCTTTTCGACCATCTTGCCATCTAGATATCTTGCCATCTAGCCGGTCACATCACCGCCGACCAACCTCATATCAAGGAATCCCCAAACGCTGAAGACGAGCTCTAGTGGCGCTGCCGCTTCCTCTCCAAGCCGTTTCTGCCTCCAGCATGTCAATCAAGTTCGTCCCGCCTTTTCCTTCTATTCCCGTTTCCCTTCATATTGTATATATATGTACTGTACATACATACCTGCAGGCCGCGACAGGAGCAGCGGGAGGGAAGACGAAGAAGACATACATGTATATATCCCACCATGCCCATGTCGTGCCCTCCTACTTTTGCCCTTGCCCGCCCGCACCGAAGCTTTATTCTCCCCGTCCTCCCCCTCATATCACTCGACAATGCTCAAGTCAGCGACTGACCGTATGAAAAGCTGGGTCATGGTCTCGCCGGAGTCGACCGAACCCTTCGTCAAGCTCCCCAACGAACGAATCCTCTACCGCTCCCCGATTCGCACCTCCCTCACCCTCTCCTCCCCATCAAATACACACTCCTCAACACAACCCTGGTCCGTCTCTAGCGACGGCGGCGTCGCCTACATCACCAACCAACGAGTAAGGCCCCACCCCCTCCCCCTCCCCCTCCCTTAGACCCCGCTAACCCCCCCTCCCTAGATAGTCTACATCCCCACCACCTCCTCCCCCAGCCTCACCTCCTTCTCCTGCCCCATCCTCAACCTCCACGACACCTACGTGCGCGCCCCCTTCTTCGGCGCAAACTACTGGACCGCCTCCGTCCGCCCCGTCGCTGGCGGCGGCACCCCCCCCTCCCTCGCCCTCATCGACCTGCGCATGACCTTCCGCGAGGGCGGCGCCTTCGACTACCATAACGTCTTTGAGCTCATCAAGGAGCGCCTCTACGAGGCTGTGCAGGCTGCGCGGGATGCGGGACGGAATGTTGGAGGGGCGGGGGGGATGGATCCAGAGGTGCTGCAGGGGCTGCATCTCGAGCAGCTGCCGGCTTATGAGCCCGCTGCGGTAGCCCCGGGGTCGGGGGCGGCAGCTGAAGCGAGGAGGGCGTCAGTGGTAGATGGACAGCCGAGGACGGAACCGGAGAGCGCGGCGGCACAACCGGATGAGCCGCCGCCGGGGTATGAGGAGGCGCAGGCGCAGGCGGTGGGGATTGATCTGGATCAGCGGCTGCGGCGGCGCGCGGAGTTCGACCGGGATAGCGGGGATGAGTAGGGGTTGTTGGTGTGTCGTGTGTGTCGTGTCATGTCCGCGAGAATGCACAGATGGAATATGAGCGAGCCCGCTACTTCACCCACTTTCACGTCGGAAAAGTCGGAAAAGACGCGGGCTTTACGGAGTAGATAGATCGGAGTATTAGCTGGCATAGCGTAGCATAGGAAGGTACCCGTCATTAATAAACATGCGATCTACTTTCCCATCACCTTTCTAAGTAGCCAAGTTATGGTTCACTATAATATTCCCAACAAGGCTATAACGAGGACAGAGATAGCGACGGTAGGCTTAACTTAGTAGAAACCCTATAACAGTAACCATTAGGCAAAGCAAAAGAATCTTTACCGCCGTCGTGCCTGCATATATAGATCTTTTGCCTTCCATCAATTGTCATAACCGCAAAACATATTTCCCAGGCCGGCCAGCATCCTCCAAGCTAAAACCATCCACATTCATCGGCACACCTCGGGACAAAAACGCCCACCCATCACGTGACACACAACCAATCACAGTGCTGGCAACTCAATCGCACCCATCCGAGCTTCTGTTTTCCTCTCGTGGCCCGAACTGCATCATTCCGAGCATCCACTCAATTCGAAAGCGTCTTGCAAACCCCGACCCGACCGGAACGCATATTTAGCGATTAATCGATTTTCATAATGGGATTCTGGGACTTTGTGGAGGCGGCTACGCCGTGGAGCACTGTGGAGGCTGAGGCGCCGGCGAAGGAGGACGAGGTATGTACTTGCTTCGTTTTCTTGGGGATTGGGATTGGGATTGGGGATTGGACGGGATGTGGGCGGAGGGATGGAGGAGAAGTGAGGACACATGATGGGAGAGGAAGAGGTGGACGGAAGGGCGATTAGGGAAGGGAGAGGGAGATGGGGGATGATGATGCCTCGATTGGGCGAAACGACCCGGATAAAGATGCTGACTGATGATAGGAGACCGAGACCTCTACCACCGACAAGACCGAGGAGTCCACCGAGGAGGCTCCCGCTGAGGAGGAGGAGGAGGAGGAAGAGGAGGAGGACATCGTTGACCCCAAGGAGACTCTTGAGGCAGGTGCGTACCCCCCCCCCGACTACACCTGCGCAACACCACGCCCAAACACCACGCCCACCACGCCCACCACGCCCACCCCGCCGCCATTCAATATCTATCGGTGATGTGATGGGAGTACACACCGATGAATTGGGTGAATAGTGGGCATGGGCATTGGTGTATAGTTGTATACGATGATGACAGGCGCTGACGAACAAACAGAGTGCAGAGAGGCCAAGGAGTGCGCGGCGCCCAAGCATCATTTTGATGAGTGCGTTGAGCGCGTTACTGCTGCGGAGGAGAAGGGGGGAGCGAAGGAGGATTGTGTTGAGGAGTGTAAGTTTACCCGTTTGTTTTGCTACGAGTGGAGAGGGAATGGAATGGGGTATATACTGTCGAAGCCGCATGGATGAACCGGATACCACGGTCGATAAATAAACACACCTACTAACACCTCCCGCAGTCTTCCACCTCGCCCACTGCGCCACCGCCTGTGCCGCCCCCAAGCTGTGGGCTCAGCTTAGGTAGAATGTCGGCTACGTGATATATAACATGCCATAGAATGGCACGGCACGAGGACAGAGATGATGGGGATTCAGATGGGGATGGGAAGTGTATAGATGGCATGAGATGAGATGAGTGGATAGATTTTGATTTGAGACAATTGTACCATACGTTGCCGTCGCTACTTGCTTGTGTGTTTTTGTTACTATTGTTGTGTTGTGAATGTGCTGGGTTGGGTTGTGATGGGAAATTATTAACTGGTAGGCACGACCGGTCGATGGAATTGTTGATGGGCTCAAGGGAAAGGCGCGACGGCAACTCGTTAATCGGCAGGCACGACTCGCCGACGAAATTATCAATAGGATCAAGGGGAAGGCGCGATGGCAACTCCTCAACCGGCAGGTACGACCTATCGAGGGAATTGTCAATGGGCACAAGAGTGGTTCGTCTGCATGTGTGGCGATGAGGATTGTCACGTAGGTGTCATACTTCGACGCCTTAGACTTCACATCGGCGATGACATTGGCCCAGTCACCTCCCGCGACGAAACTGACGGTAGTCCGCCCATTGTGGCCGTAGTTGGTGCTGACGGCGCCGTTAGTGAGGGTGGCGAGGAAGCCAGTGCCCGAACCTGGGAATGTGTCAGTCAGGGCTGCTGAGCGTTTGAGGAGGGGGGATACATACCTCCTCCGCCTGTGGACTGGACGAATCGCCAGCTAGGAGAAATTCAGCGGGCTTTTCGACGCGGCTTTTCGACGCGGCATCTCGCCGGTGACGCTGAGACGAGAGGCGGGCGAGGAGCGCCAAGGACGAGACGCGGATGAAGCTTTCATTTTGGCGGGGTAAAGCGGTAAATCAGAAATTGAAATATATTGCAGATATGCAGGTCGGTTGGGCGGGGGAGGTCGCCCTACGACCTTTCGGGTGCGATCGCCGCGATTTGAGTTCGTGCCTTGATGAAGCTTGGTATATAGCTATATGGCTTGTCATGTTTCGAGGGTGCTGATCAGTAACTTGTACGGCTTCCTGAGACGAAACTGCAGGAGCCATTGGTCTACTGTTTCGCTGGAAAATGCATCTCTTTAAGCTCTTCGTTGGCCTGTTCGCCTTGCTGTGGACTGCACATGCCACGGATAATGGACTGCAGAAAATCATCGAATGGGACGGATACAGTCTCATGATCAATGGGAAGAGGGAGTTTATCTAGTAAGTATGCTGCAATTAATTGTTTCAGACAAGGGTTGCTGACATGACGTTTTAGTTAGGCTGAGTTCCACTACCAGCGCATGCCTGTGCCTGAGATATGGCTTGTGAGTTCCTGTATCATGATGACCGACTGACAATAAGCTTATACAAAACTAGGATATCCTCCAGAAGCTGCGTGCTAATGGTTTCAATACCGTTAGATATGTCACTTTGCCCTGAGTTTGCTATCTAAGACTGACAAATATAGCCTGTACTTCTTCTAGAGCTACCATTCCGCCGCCAGAGATGTTTACGACTTTGAGACGTCCGGCAAGAACGTCCAGAGATCGCTTGACTACTGCAAAGAGGCCGGACTCTATGTCATTGCAAGATCCGACCCCAATGCTGAAACCAATGGCGGCGGATTCGCCTTGTGGGGATCTGACGGGAGCATGGGGAGCTTGCGCACATCAGACGAGACCTATCACCAGGCCTGGTTCCGTGGGTCGCCAAGATGGTTAAGATTATTGCAGACAACAAGATCACCAACTCGAAAACGAACTCCAAGAGACGCATGTGGCCACTGCTTCGGCCGTGGTTTACATGGAGCAGCTCAAGGCAGCTTTCCTTGACGCAGGAGTCACCGTGCCGTCTTCGCACAACGAGAAAGGACAGCGCTCGATGTCGTGGTCTACGGATTTCCAGGATGTTGGTGGATCTGTTAATGTCTACGGTCTCGATTCTTACCCTGGTGGGACATCGTGCACCAATATAAACTCTGGCTACAACGTCGTGCGCAATTATACCAGTGGTTTTCGAACTACTCATACACTCAGCCAAGCTACGTCCATGAGTTCGAGGGTGGTTGGTTCAGCCCCTGGGGAGGCACTTTCTACGATGAATGTCTTGCAGAGCACAGCCCTGAGTTTGCGGATATTTACTACAAGAATAATGTTGGGCAGAGGATTACCAAGCAGAATCTGTACATGACTTGGGGAGGAACTAACTGGGTAAGTTCAAGTCATGCCTGGCAGCGGGGACTCCAGCTAATGATCAACAGGGACACTCTGCGGCTCCGGTCGTGTATACGTCTTAGTCGCTTATTGGCGACTGTTTATACTGAACAGCAGCGGGATATATCTCAGAAAGATCCAAACCTTCAGGCGAGCACAAGTAGACAGGGAATAGCGGAGTGATCAGAGAAAGAGCCTCCCATATTGTATCGATGTACAAACCCGAAAGCTGTATAGACACAAGAAAAACGCCAATTCCCATTAAACCGCGCTGATAAAATCCCTCCCAGGTGGACTATATCCTACAGAACTCCCTCCAACCGTAGCCCCGCTTGTGCGGCCGCTACTCGGTTCTCCAAATCTTCCCTCCCTCGTACGTGTCTGGTTCACGTAATATTCCACCCCTCCAGCGCGTCGCCCATCTCAGCGCATCCCGCGCCTGGCCTCCAACGCCCTCATAACGAATTCGACAAGCCGATTACTCACTCAATCCCTGAGCGCAAACCGCCTCGCAAACTCCTTATGCAACTTCGGCGTAATCTCATCACTCGTCCGCCCCTCCACCCTCCACAACACCCCCTTCCTTGCATAATGCTCCAGCAACGGCTCACTCGTCTCCTTAAACTTCTCCAACCTCTCCAACCAAACCCCCTCATCATCATCCGCGCGCTTCGTCAGCCTCTCCCCCGTCACATCATCGCGCCCCGGCACGCGCGGCGCGTTGAAACTCGTATTGTAACTCCTACCCGACGGCGCGTGAACCCAGCGGCCTGCGATCCGGTCCATGATCACGCTGAAGGGCGTATCGAGGTGCACGACAAGGTTAATCGGCACCAAATTATCCAACTGCACCGCCTGCTCCGCCGTTCTCGGAAACCCATCAAGAATAAACGACGAACTAGGCTGATCGCACGTCCTCGGCTCCGGAAAGCTCGCCAGCAGCGACGGCGTATCAAGCATATCCCCCGCGACGAACACTGCATCTTCCCCACCCGCAGAGGAGCTAGAGTTCAGCGTGTATGGTTGCTCCGGGCGGCCCGTGAAGAGCCAGTTGCGGTCTTTGAGCTCGGCGAGGATGAGGCGCAGGATCATGGCGTCGGGGACGAGAGAGCCGGCTTTGATGGCGGATTCGGCGCGGATGCCGAGTGGGGTGCGGTTTTGGACGTGCGTGCGCAGGAGGTCGCCCGAGGAGATGGCGGAGAGTTGGGCGAAGGCGGTTTGGAGGCGCGCGGATTGGGTGCCTTTGCCGACGCCTTGGGGGGGGGGGGGAGGGGGTTAGTTGGGTGTTTTTGTGGTGTGGTTTGCGAGGGAAGGAGGAGGAGGGAGGGAGAGAGGGGAGGGGCGACGAACCTGGGGCGCCGACGAGGATGATGCGGGCTGCCTTGGAGAGCTTCATTGTGGGATGTTGTTTATGGATGTTACGAGGGAGAGGCGCGTTGACGTGGTGGTTGAAGGTAATTATAAGAATATAAGTATTGTAGAGTAGCCGAAAGATGATAATAATGGTCCGCTGATATCCGTCCGTCGGTTGTAAGGTGGAAACTATCCGTCCTGGAGCCCAACCGGAACTGCGTTATTCAAGAGTGAAGCATGGTGAAGGTGTTGAATTTGGGGGGGGGGGGGGGGGGGGGTATCGATGTTTTTAAAAACGAGGTTGAGGAAGGAGCAGGCTGGGGCGGGAGATGTGAGGCAGCTTATAGTTCCCGAGAGTTAGGAAGAGACTGTGGCGAAAGTGATTGGGGATGATGATGGAGATGTTGATCCAAGTAGGCGTAGGCGTAGGCGTAGGCGTAGGCGTAGGCGTAACTTAGGCGTATAAGCATGTGGAAGTGGGATGGAGAGAGAAGCTGCGAGTATAAGCGTTAAAATAGACGAAAGGTGCCGAGAAGTCCCGATAAGATTGTGTGCTAGACACGGTGCAGCAGAGAGTCTTGGCAGATCTTCGTTGAGGGGCGTTGAGGGGCGCTAAGGCCGAAATCGGCGGGGATACGGACATATCGGGTCAACGTCACTCCCTTCCTTCACCCTCCGTTCGCATCCTTGTCACGTGAATCCACATCACGGGCGCCGCGATGTTCGGGGGCTTTTCTCCCTCTTCCCATATCAAACACAACGACTTCACCATCACCTCAACCACAACTGCATCCCCCACAAATCTATTATTTAAAAGGCGGCGCACTCCCGCCTGCCTTGGCACTCCTTTTCGACGCTCTCTCCCCTTCCCTAGAGGCACATCAAGCCCTTCGTCTCCTCGGCATCCGTGATGAGCGCATCCTCAAGCTTGGTTCGCAATGCGGCTGCCCGGACTTCGGTTTTGAGTGCTGGTATGTATCAGCGGCCTGGCGACTACCTCTACCATATGCGCGAGACTGACTTTTGACAATAGCTCGTGCTTTCCCTAGATCCTCGTTTGGCCCCTCGTCGGCGTACACGGCCTATCTTCGTCGCAATGGCCGCAACCTCCCAAGCCAGATGACTGCGCTGGCCATCCTCGTCCCCCACTCCAGATATGCGTCAACCGATACGCACACAACCACAACCGCAACCACATCGGGTGGTCCGCCACCAGGCTTCAATGCCGACCAGGCCAAGAAGCCACTCCCGGCTGGCAGCGCCAAGCCCACGTCAAAAATGCTTGATAAGGCATCGGACGCCGTCGAAAACAAGGGCGATATCGACTCTGTGTCGAGGACCTCACCGACTGCGGTGCCCAAGACTGATTCGGTCGAGGCGCTGACTCTCTCCGAGCTCGCAGGCGAAAAGGAGAAGTCCATCGACACGTCGGAGGTGAAGAAGCAGGAGAAGAAGTTGACCCTGGGTCAGAAGATCAAGAAGGAGCTCGCACATTACTGGGATGGAACGAAGCTGCTGGCAACGGAGGTCAAGATCAGTACTCGTTTGGCGATGAAGATGGCGGCTGGTTACGAGCTCAGTCGCAGGGAGAACAGGCAGTTGAAGCGCACAGTGCAAGATCTTGGCCGTCTAGTGCCATTTTCGGTCTTCCTCATCGTGCCTTTCGCCGAGTTACTCCTTCCGGTCGCTCTGAGGATCTTCCCCAACATGCTTCCGAGCACGTACGAGGGCCAGAAGTCAAAGGACACCAAGATGTCCAATCTGAGGGCCACGAGGAAGGAGGTCAGCACCTTCCTCAGCGACACCCTGAAGGAGACCGGGCTTCCGTTGAACTCGGCTATAGCGCAGCGTGACGAGTTCTCTGAATTCTTCCGGAAGGTTCGCGCCACCGGCGAGACGCCAACAGCAGCAGACGTGATCAAGGTGTGCAAGATCTTCAAGGACGACTTGACCCTTGACAACTTGTCCCGCCCACAACTGGTCGGCATGTGCCGATACATGAACCTGAACACATTCGGCACGGACATGATGCTTCGTTACCAGGTCCGCCACCGGATGCGCCAGATCAAGAGAGACGATAGAGCGATCAGCTTCGAGGGCGTCGAGAGCCTCTCAGTGCCAGAACTCCAGACTGCCTGCGCGAGCCGTGGAATTCGCACTCATGGCGTGTCTCCCGGCCGCCTACGTGACGACCTCGAATCCTGGTTGGAGCTACGTCTCAAGTACGGCGTTCCCTCGACCCTCTTGGTCCTGAGCAACGCCTTCATGTACGCCCAGGGACAGGATTCGGAGATCAGTAGCCAAATTGACGCCCTCACCGGTGTCCTGTCCTCTATCCCCGAGGAGCTCTTCCACGAGATCGAGCTTGAAGTCCACAACGCTGAGGGCGCTGCGACTAACAAGCAGCGTCTTGAGGTCCTGAAGGAGCAGCAAGAACTGATTGAGGACGAGAACGAACAGGATGAGGAGAACAAGGAGTCTGGCCTCGCCACCCCTCGCGATCACGAGAACATCGATGAGGAGGAGCAGCGCCGCGCGGATGCGGTGGCTAACGGCAAGGACACGGATCAAGTCGCTGAGGCGATCGATGTGGAGAAGGACCAGAACATGGCCAAGTCCGTTGATGAGGACGCTGCTAAGAAAGGGAAGAAGGAGTGATTAAAGGGTTGCTACTTGGCGCCTTTCACATTTTGTTTGTATGACATGATTAGGTCTCCAGGCGCTGCTGGATGAGGGTACACATTGTGGGCATAGGGACGGATACACTACTATAGAAATGGGTCCACTTCACCATTAGATGTTTTAGAATTAACTTTTTTTTGTAAAGATCAGCCCGTTAATTGGGGGTAGCAGTTCGTGAAACTGTGGAATTAATTGTGATAAAAATATCAAAGACGTTCCATGCCCACTGATCCCTTTTTCGTTGATCCCTTTTTCGTTGACTTTACCTGTCATCGACATGTCACGTGCAGCGCGGCTACAAGCTCTCATCTCTGCCTTGGCGCGACGTGACCGATCCAGGTTGCGACTGATGACGCGCCCCTGTCACCATCAGGTTCCCAAAAACCACAAATCAGATTATTAACACCAACTCGACACTCACGAAGAGGCCCCGCTAACCATACATCCATAGCTCAAACACCTGTATGAGGAATTGAAAATACCAACCTGCGCAATTCCCACTCCACGAACTTGCTAGGTCATAGCGGCGGTCAAGACTCTTTCGCCGATCAACCCCGCCAATCCCGGTGCGATGGAGAACGACGACTTCGCGGATGTGTCGTGGCAGTCGCCGCCGAGGGGGAATACGGAGGGAGCTGCGGAATCGAGTTTGGGAGCTGCGGCGGGGGAAGCGCAGCCTGGTCGTGCGGAGAGGATAGCGGATGGGATGGAGGAGGCGCCGAGGGCGGATCCGTTGGATAATGCGGGTATTGGGAATGGGCACCTTGAGTGTACGGTTACGGCGCCGCTGAAGGAGGGGGATGGGTCGAAGGATTCTTATGTCTCTTACCTTGTTACTACTAATGTGTGTAATCCCCGTCCCTCCCTTTACGTTGGAGAGGAAGAGGAAAGAGGAAGAGGACAGGCTGACAGGATCTAGACCGATTTCCCATCCTTCCAAAAGCCAACAACATCCGTGCGAAGACGATTCACGGATTTTGTCTTCCTGTATAATACCCTCTTCGCGGAATACCCGCAATGTGCAGTCCCGCCTCTGCCAGACAAGCACAGCATGATGTACGTCACAGGCGACCGGTTCAGCACGGAATTCATGCAGCGCCGCACCAACTCGCTCAAGCGCTTCATGCGCCGCCTGACTCTGCATCCTGTCCTTCGCCGCTCGGCGCTCCTGATTATCTTCCTCGAGAGCCAGGATTGGAACGCCACGATGCGGGGACGCCCGAATAGGGCCCCGTCGAATGGGGATCAGGGATCTGGGGTCTTTGATGGGATTACCGAGACCTTCATTAATGCCTTTACTAAAGTCCATAAGCCGGACCGCCGCTTCATCGAGGTTCGCGAGAAGTCAGATAAGCTGGACGAAGACCTGGGCCATATTGAGAAAGTCGTCGTGCGCGTAGCGCGCCGCGAGGATGAGCTGGCTAAGGACTTCCACGAGCTGGGCGAGAATTTCCAGAAGCTGATTACCCTCGAGCCTGGCGTCGAGGGGCCGGTGCATGCCTTCACGGCGAGTATCGAGGATACCTCTGCCGAGATGAAGACTCTCAAGGATAAGACGGACCACGATTACCTCGGCAGCCTGCGAGACATGCAGTCCTACAGCACGGCAGTCAAAGCCCTCCTAAAGCTGCGCGACGCAAAACAAGTCGACTTTGAGCAAACCGCCGTCCTCCTCGCCGACACAACACAGCAGCGCGACCGTCTCGCCGGCTCCCACGGCGCCTCAAGCGGGGCCGGGGGCTTCCTGCGGTCGAAGCTCGAGGATGTGAGGGGTGTGGATCACGAGCAGGCGAGGCGGAAGAGGGTGCGCGAGGCGGAGCTGAAGATGGAGGAGTTGACGGCGGCGGTGGAGGAGGCGAAGCGGATGACGGAGGCGTTTGATGAGGAGGTTATTAGGGAGGTGGCGGACTTCGAGAGGATTAAGAGGATTGAGTTTAAGACGCAGTTTGGGGCTTTGGCGGATGCGCATGTGGGGTTTTATGGGGAGGCGATTGAGACGTGGGAGGGGTATGTGAGGGAGATGGAGAAGGTGGGGGGGGAGTGAGGGGGTTGGAATAGGAGGGATGTGGGGGGAGGATGGATGGGGAGTTTTTGGAGTTGGGTTGGGGATAGATAGTCTATGGGGAGTTGATTAAACCAGTGCTGGTATTACATATTACTATCTGTGCATTTCTGCTGGGCTCGTTCGTGTGATATATCAGACTCTGTTTAGTTTGATGTCGGTGGGATATTTGTCCTGCCTTGAGCCAAATATCCAGGCTCCAACCAAATGAGTCCTAAACCATCACAATCCCAGTAGGCAGTCCCTAGGCAGTTCGTAGGCAGTTCGTAGGCAGTTCGTAGGCAGTTCGTAGGCAGTTCGTAGGCAGTTCGTAGGCAGTTCGTAGGCAGTTCGTAGGCAGTTCGTAGGCAGTTCCTAGGCGGTCCTTAGACAGTTCGTAGGCAGTCCCTAGGTAGTCCCTAGGTAGTCCCTAGGTCCCTAGGTAGTCCCTAAACCAAAATAGTCACGTTAGTAGTCCCTTTGTAGTCCGTTTGTAGTCCCGCCGTTGTCCCTTCGTAGCCCCTTCGTAGCCCCTTCGTAGCCCCTCCGTTGTCCCTCCGTTGTCCCTTCTTTTCCAAACCTACACCCCACATTAAAAAAATATCTAGCGGAGCAGGCCAAACCGCACATCTTATCCCTTCATCCCTTCTTTATGCAGGCAGGATGATTCACGTTGTGGTTATGTAGGGATTGGGGGGGGGGGCGTGGTACATGGATGATACATGGATGGTACATGGGGGAAATATTAAGAACACAGAGAACACAGAGAACACAGAGAACACAGAGAACACAGAGAACACAGAGAACATATTCGAACAATCCAATCGGTAAGAATAGAGGACATACATACTCGCATATTCGCATGCATATTCGCATGCATATTCGCATGCATATTCGCATACTGGCATATTCGCATACTGGCATGCTGTACTCGGTAAGTGCTGTACTCCGTTGTGTCTGTGTTGCGTACCACCAACTCTCAGGAGACACAAGAGTCATCTCAGCTATCTCAGCCATCTCAGCCATCTCAGCCAGGGCTGAGATGTCTGACGCTTGTAACGCAAATCTCTCCTAAACCAATTTCTGGCTGCTGATTGTACCGCTTGGAGAGTTTGGTGGCGTGCAAAGAAAAAAAGGGTACAGTAACAGTCTAAACAATCTAGGAACAGCTCAAACAGCCCAAACAGCTCAAACAGCCCAAACAGCCCAAACAGCCCAGTAACAGCCCAGTAACAGTCACTACAGTCCACTACAGTCCACTACAGTCCACTACCTCCACTACCTCCACTAAAGCTCACAACAGTCCACTACAGTCCACTACAGCCACTACAGCCCACTACAGTCCACTACAGTCCACTACCTCCACTACAGTCCACTACGTCCACTACGTCCACTACAGCCCACTACAGCCCACTACAGCCCACTACAGCCCACTACAGCCCACTACAGCCCACTACAGCCCACTACAGCCCACTACAGTCCAATCCGCTGCGGTTACGAGTAATTTAAGTCCTCGACTCGTATAAATAATAAATAACGGGGTTATGTAGCGTATAGTGCTGCATAAGTTGCAAATGTGGCGCTGACAAACGCGCCCTGCCCCGGCTGTTCCGGCGTCGCCAACCAATCCGCCCCAAAATGCTAAGGTCCAAGTACGGACGAGATCCAGGGCCGACACCGAATGCTCTTCCGCCTGACGCTCGACACGGCCTCGCTACCCTTCCTCGACCACCTCCTCGACGACGACGAGGATTCGTTGCCCTGGTCTCGACATCGCCAACCCGCCACCATGGCCACCGACGCCGCTGCCGACAACGACGCCGCGCTGGCCCCTGTACCCACGAAGCGATTGAGGTGGGCGACACAGCACAAGAAGGGGAAGCAGGCGAATCGCACGCGGTCGTCGATTTTGGATCGCCTGAACCGCCGGCCGTCGCGCATGGAGAAGAAGAGGGAGTCGGGCGGGAGCGAAGCTATGAGCGCTGGTGGGGATAATGGAGATATAAGGGAGGACCCTGAGGAGGCCGAGACACAGGGGGAGGGCGAGGGTCAGCGGAAGGTGCACTTCAACATCCCGCTGCCGCCGGATGCGCTGGACGAGGACGGATCGCCGGCGACGACGTATCCGAGGAATAAGATCCGGACGGCGAAGTATACGCCGCTGAGTTTCCTGCCGAAAAATATTTGGCTGCAATTTCACAATATCGCGAATGTGTACTTTTTTATCCTTATTATCCTAACAGTAAGTTTTTATAGGACGAGTGTCTTTTTGACTCTCAGCTAAGCAAGGCAGATTTTCACCATCTTCGGCGCATCGGATCCAGGACTCAACGCTGCGCCGCTGATTGTTATTGTCTTCGTCACGGCGATCAAGGATGGTGTCGAAGATTATAGGCGGTCGAATCTCGACGATGAATTGAATAACTCGGCTGTCCATAGACTGGTCGAATGGAATAATGTCAATGTGGACACCGACGATGTGTCGCTGTGGAGGAGGATCAAGAAGTCCACGACCCGATTCATATCGGCTGCGTGGAAGGCGATATCAGCCCTCTGGGCGAAGAAGAAAGAATCGGACGAAGAAGACAAACCGGCTGCGCCGAGGGGATCGTTTGAAACTATCGCGACTAGGAGAGCGTCCACCTACTCGACACGTAGCGACAAGCGCATATCGTATGCCGATGCGGGTGAGGATATTCAGATGACGCCAGTTCCGTCACCTTTACCCCGGGAACAAGGCCTGGCTCCTCCATCTTCGGATGGGCGTCCAACCACAGCAATGTCATTTGAGGGACAGACGCCGCAGAGGAAGAACTTTGGTAGTCTGATCAACCCCAGCGTACCAGCTTCGGGCAAGGCTCGATTCCACAAGGATTACTGGAAGAACGTTCAAGTCGGTGACTTCGTCCGTATCTACAACGACGATCAATTGCCCGCAGATGTGGTTATTCTTTCCACGTCCGACCCGGATGGCGCTTGTTATGTTGAGACCAAGAACCTCGACGGAGAGACAAACTTGAAGGTGAGGCATGCTCTCCAAAGCGGGAAGCAGATCAGACACGCGCGCGACTGCGAGAGAACCGAGTTCGTCATCGAGAGCGAGCCGCCGCACGCCAACCTCTACCAGTACAGCGCCGCAGCGCGCTGGACACAATACAACGAGAAGAACCCAGATTCCGCCGGCGAGCACATGGTCGAGCCGATTGGCATCAACAATATGCTGCTCCGTGGCTGCAATCTGAGGAACACGGAATGGGTCCTCGCAGTGGTGGTCTTCACCGGTTTCGACACCAAAATCATGATCAACTCTGGATTCACGCCAAGCAAGCGCTCTCGCATCACGCGCGAGCTCAACTGGAACGTCGTCTACAATTTCGGCATCCTGTTCTTCATGTGCTTGATTGCGGCGTTGGTTGAGGGTGTGGCGTTTAGCAAGGATGGGACGAGTATCAAGCATTTCGAGTTTGGATCTATCGGAGGGTCGCCGGGGACGAATGGATTAATCACTTTCTTTGCCGCGCTCATCCATTTCCAGAATTTGGTACCTATTTCCCTGTACATCTCGCTGGAAATCATCAAGACGCTACAGGCGTTCTTCATTTACAGCGACATTGAGATGTACTACGAGAGGCTTGACTATCCTTGCACCCCGAAATCGTGGAATATCTCTGATGATCTCGGACAAATCGAATACATCTTTTCCGACAAGACGGGCACGCTGACACAGAACGTGATGGAGTTCAAGAAAGCTACTATTAATGGCCATCCCTACGGAGAAGCGTACACCGAAGCCCAGGCCGGCATGCAAAAGAGGCAGGGCATCGACGTTGCGGAAGAGTCCGAGAGGGTGCGTGCTGAAATCGCCGACGCACGCAAGCGGATGTTGGCGAGTCTCCGCAAACTACACGACAACCCCTACCTCCACGACGACGACCTGACCTTTATTGCACCTGATTTCGTCACCGATTTAGCCGGCGAATCGACTCGCGAACAACAACTAGCTTGCGAGAAATTCATGCTCGCGCTTGCCCTCTGCCATACCGTCATCTCCGAGACCACACCTGGAGACCCTCCCCGCATCGAGTTCAGGGCCCAGTCGCCTGATGAGGCGGCCCTGGTTGCTACGGCGAGAGATGTCGGGTACACGGTTCTTGGGAATTCAATGGATGGGATCCATCTGAATGTCCAGGGAGAGGAGAGGTCATACAAGGTCCTGAACACGCTAGAGTTCAACTCCACACGTAAGCGTATGAGTGCTATTATCGAGATGCCCGACGGAAAAATCGTTCTCTTCTGCAAGGGCGCGGATAGTATGATCTACTCCCGTCTCAAGCGTGGAGAGCAACCTGAGCTGCGCAGGGAGACGGCGGAGCATCTGGAGATGTTTGCGAGAGAGGGGCTGAGGACGCTGTGTATTGCGGAGAGGGAACTCGATCCTGCTGAGTACAGCAAGTGGAACCAGGAGTACGAGGTTGCGTCGTTTACGATTCAGAATCGTGAGGATAAGATGGAGGCGGTGGCGGATTCGATAGAGCGCGATTTGACGCTATTGGGTGGCACTGCTATTGAAGATAGGCTGCAGGAGGGTGTGCCGGATACGATTGCACTCCTTGCTAATGCGGGTATCAAGCTTTGGGTCCTCACTGGCGATAAGGTCGAGACTGCTATTAATATTGGATTCTCGTGTAACCTCCTCAACAACGACATGGAGCTTATCGTGTTCAAGTTTGAGGATGAGCAGTTGTCTACAGCTGAAGCAGAGCTCGATAAACATCTCGCATCGTTCGGTATTACTGGATCTGATGAAGAACTCAAAGCCGCCAAGAAGAACCACGAGCCCCCTGCACCGACGCACGCCATCGTCATCGACGGAGACTCCCTCAAACTCGTCCTGGATGATCAGCTGCGACAGAAATTCCTGCTTCTCTGCAAGCAGTGCAAGTCAGTTCTTTGCTGCCGTGTCAGTCCCGCGCAGAAAGCTGCTGTCGTCTCTATGGTCAAGGTCGGGCTTGATGTTATCACGCTGTCTATTGGCGATGGAGCCAACGATGTTGCTATGATCCAAAAAGCCGATATTGGCGTTGGTATTGCAGGAGAGGAAGGTCGTCAAGCCGTCATGTCGTCTGATTACGCTATTGGCCAATTCCGTTACTTGCAGAGACTTGTCCTCGTCCACGGCCGCTGGTCGTATCGCAGGTTGGGAGAGACGATTGCGAACTTCTTCTACAAGAATATTGTGTGGACGTTCTCGCTGTTCTGGTATCAGATCTTTTGCGACTTCGACATCAGCTACCTATACCACATCACATACATCACTCTCTTCAACCTGGCCTTCACTTCGCTGGCTGTCATTTTAATGGGTGTGTTGGACCAGGACGTCAGCGACAAGGTCTCGCTGGAAGTGCCACAGCTCTACCGACGTGGCATCGAGCGCAAGGAATGGACGCAGAGGAAATTCTGGCAAGTGTTACCCCGTGCAATTTATACCACCCTTACTAATCGTGCTCCAGGCTGTACATGCTTGACGGCTTCTTCGGCTCAGTAATCTGCTTCTTCATGGCATACCTCCAGTTCCGCGGTGGCAACGTCGTCACTGTCAACGGCCTCGTCCTCGACGACAAAGACCGCTTCGGCGTGTACGTCGGGTCCGCGGCCGTCGTCGTGATCAACATCTACATCCTCATGAACAGCTACCGGTGGGACTGGCTGATGGGCCTCATCGTGGTAATCAGCATCCTATTAATCTTCTTCTGGACAGGCGTCTACTCGGCCTTCACCTCGGCGTCCTTCTTCTACGAAGCCGCGCCCCAAGTCTTCGGCCAAGCCACCTTCTGGGCCGTCACCGCCCTCTCCGTAGTCATCTCCCTCATGCCCCGCTTCTGCATCAAGTTCGTTCAGAAGGCCTACTTCCCCTACGACGTGGACGTCATCCGCGAGCAAGTCCTGCTGGGGAAATTCGCCCACCTCGACCCTGCCAGCGCCGCCACAGACGGCAAGAAGTCCGGCAAGGGCGCAAGCGGATCCTCCTCCACTGGTTCATCAGGTATCGTTGCAAAGCCGAGTAAGCATACCCACTACCTGAGCGAAGACCAAAGGCCAATTTACCCACCCTCAGTTGCCCCCACCACCGTCACCGCCACCGGCCGCAGCCGCGTCGGCAGCAACGCCACCGACTTCACGCACCACCACCGCCAGAGCCTGGAGCCGCCACTCGTGCCGAGAATGTCGATGGATCGCCCGAGGCCGTCGTATGATCGCATTCGTGCGTCGATGGATCAGTTGAGGCCGAGTTTCGAGCAGAGTGGGGATCTCACGTCGGCGGCGATGCTGACGAGGATGGAGAGTAGTCACTATTCGGTTACGCCGGTGCAGAGTCGGAAGTAGGGGAAATCGACGCGACCCAAGTGATGGCGACGCTGTATCTATGATATTTATATTACAACAAAATAATCCTGCGCTGCGGGTTGGCACTGGCGCCACCACCACCACCGATGGAGGGAAGGCGGACTTTTTACAAAGCGGGTGTTATAGACATACCTTTTTCATTTTTTTGGACATACCCACTTTACCGAATATATAGCGCGTTGCTATGTTCTTATTTATTTTTTTGAAGAGAGATGCACTTTAAAAAGGGGGGATCATGAGCTGGGGGGGTGGGGTGGATTTATATAGGTCGTGAGCGGGGGATGGAGGATGGAGTTTGGATTGAGATTTTGTATATTAGATCATTGGCATTTTTGTGGTAGCGGCTCATTTGTTTAGGGGGTTAATTGAAGAAAAGATTATTATATGAATAGGCTGTCCTGTATGCTCGCTGGGAAAGACAGTAAGGATAGTGAAGCTTTCAACATATAACTTAGGCAGTTACAGCTATGAACGGAAGGAGCTGCGCAGTTGCGCCTTTCCTGTGTATTCCAACTGCTCGTTCGCGCTAGAAACCATGTAACCCTGGGGAACCAGCCAAACCTTAAATCCTCTCTTAAACGACAACTTTCACGATCACAACGGCTTCAATTCGCGACATATGATACCCACGAGTAACAGATACATGCTGTAGATGTGCTGCAAGCCAGCTTCTCCATTAGAATTCTTACAGGATGAATGGCCCCGTCACAGCCTCGTCCCTAGATGCAGGTAATGCCTCCCCTACCTACCCTCAACCCCCTCCCTCCCCCCACCGTCCACCAGCTCACCTCTCTTGACACAGCCGACTACGACCCAATTGACGATCTCAACACCATCTTCTCCCATTCCTCGACCCTACGCTCCGTCGGTGCTGTCGGCGCCGCCCTCCAAACCCGACAAGATGCCCTCGACACCTCCATAAACGCCCTGACGGGCACCCTCGCCGCCCCCCGCGCCTCCTCCTCCCTCGAGCGCATGTCCTCCGCCAAAACCGAGCTCGACCAGCTCTTCCGCAAGATCGAGTCGGTCCGCAATCGCGCCCTCGAGACCGAACACACCATCACCAACATGACGGCCGACATCAAGCGACTCGACCACACAAAGCGGAACCTGACGCTCTCGATGACGGCGCTGAAGCGTCTACAGATGCTGACCACAGCATACGAGCAATTGCGCGGTCTGGCGAAAAGCAGGCAGTACCGCGAGTGTGCGGGCCTTCTGCAGGCGGTGCTGCAGCTCATGGCGCACTTCCGGAGCTATCGCAGTATCGACCAGATTGCGACGTTGAGTCGGAATGTAGCGGATCTGCAGAGGGAGCTGGGGGAGCAGGTTTGCGAGGACTTTGAGATGGCGTTTGCGAAGAGGGAGGTGGGTGGGAAGAGGGGGATGTTGAAGGAGGCGTGTTTGGTGATGGATGCGCTGGGGGATACGGCGAGGGCGAGGTTGATTACTTGGTATTGCAATACGATGCTGAGGGAGTATAGGCAGGTGTTTAGGGGGAATGATGAGGCGGGGAGTCTGGATAATATTGGGAGGCGATACAGTTGGTTTAAGAGGATGTGGAAGACCTACGACGACGAGCATGCGGCTATCTTCCCCCTCAGCTGGAGAGTCAACGAGATGCTCGCGAACGCCTTCTGCGAAGGGACCCGAGAAGACTATAAAGCGATCCTCGAGAAGAGCACAAGGCGAACAGACGGCAACACCCTTGACGTCAGCCTCCTCCTCCGGTGCCTCCAAGAAACCCTCGACTTCGAGCACAGCCTCGAAGCCAAGTTCGCCAGCGACCCCCGCACCTCCCTCGACACCCTCAACTCCGAAGAGCGCGCACACACCTTCGACGGCTCCATCTCCCAAGCCTTCGAGCCCTACCTCAGCCTGTGGGTCGAGTCGCGCGACAAGCAGCTCGCCTCCATGATCCCGACGTACCGCAATCAGCCCCCCTTAGCTGAGGACGAGGAGTTCCACGCTCAATCCGTCCTCGCTTCCTCCATCGAGCTATTTCACTTCTACAAAGTCACCCTCGCGCAGTGCGCTAAGCTGTCTACTAGCGATCGACTTCTTGACCTCTCTCGTACGTTCGCAAAGTACCTCGATGAGTACTCACACGCTGTCCTACTCCCTATGCTGTCACGCTCCTCGCCCGCACCCCCGCACCTCAATGACGCGATCCTCGTCCTCAACACCGCGGACTACTGGCACACCAACAGCACGCAGCTGGCCGACACTCTGCGTCGCCGCATCGACGCCGAGCTAGCCCCCAAAGTCGACCTGGCGCCCCAGGCAGACACATTCATGGGCGTTGCCTCGGCGGCGCTAGTGGCGCTGGCTCGGCGCGTGGATGCCGCGGCAGAGCCGGCGTGGAGGGAGATGCGGAATACGAATTGGAGCCGCATGGAGAGCGTGGGGGATCAATCGAGTTATGTAGGCGAGCTGGTGAGGCGGGTGGAGGCGAGTGCCGCGGAGACGCTGGCGCTGTTGCAGAAACCGGGGTATGCGAGGGCGTTTGCGGATAAGGTTGTTGAGGGGGTGGTGCAGGCTTATGTGGGGACTATTGTGGCTTGTCGGCCTATTTCTGAGGTGGGAGCTGAGCAGGTATGTCGTTCCCTTCCCTTTCTTTTCAGCCCCTCTCCCCACCCCTATAATCAACAGAATAGACACTAACCATACCCCAGCTCCTCCTCGATAAATACGTCCTAACATCCTCCCTAACCTCCCTCCTCCCCCCCAACCCCTCCTTCCAAAAACGCGTCGCCGGCTCCCTCGCCCGCCTCGACCCCCTCCTCAAAACCCTCCAAGTCCGTCCCTCTCCCCCCGAAGCGCTAGTCCAAGCCTACCTCATCCACATCCACGACCGCTCCGACGCCAACTTCCGCAAAGTCCTCGACCTCAAAGGCGTCCGGCGCTCCGAAGTCGGATCTTTGGTCGAGCTCTTCGGCGTCCATCGCGCGAGCGCCAAGGATGATGGACAGGGGGGTGGGTTGGTGGATGTTGATCCGTTCCTGGGGGGGTTGAGTCTGGTGGCTGTGCAGGCGGCGCCGAATGCGCAGGCGGCGGCGGCGGCGGCGTTTGGGGAGAAGATTTTGGGGGTGGCGAGGGAGGGGGTGGGGATTGGGGAGGGGGAGGTGGAGGGGAATTTGAGGGGGATTGGGAAGTTTTTTAGGAGGGATATTGGTGCGTTTGGGGGGCGGTTTGGGAGGGGTGGGGGGGAGGGGGAGGGGAAGTAAGAAGAGAGGTGGTGGGGAGGTGACGGTATTATATTGGGGGGTATTATTATTATATATATAGACAGGTGTTGTCGGTATGGGGAATATCTACACAAAAAATTCCACCAGCGCCACTACTATCAAAACATCAAATCTCCCAAACACATCGCCATAACAGATATCGCCAAAACGAACGAACGATCAGGCCTTATCCTCCCACTGCCTCCAACTCCGCATCCCCCTGCGCCTTCGCCCTCCCCCCATGAAACCTCCCCTCCCTCCCCATCTTCCTCTCCGTCCCCCACTTCCTCAACCAAACCAAGCCCTGCACAATCAAAAAGATGACGATAATCCCCGCCGCGATGCCCAGTACGTATCCCGCTAGCAAGCCCCGGCCGTTTCCTGGGTCGAGGAACTCGTAGACGTAGATGCCGCGTGTATAGTGTGTGAGGTAAGCGAGAGCGAGGTAGAGCGCGAGGATCAGGATCAGTGCTGGGAGATTCAACCATGGCGGGCGCGAGGTGCGCGGGATGACGAGCTCGAAGAGGGCGAAGAGGGAGTTTAAGGCGTGTTGGGAGATGTTGGTCCAGCGGGGGTAGGGGGTTGGGAACCAGGATGAGTATAGAACCGCCCAGTAGACGATTGTCACCAGGAAGGGGTAGGTGATGATTGTGGTGTAGAGGAGGGAGTGCAGCGCCTGCAGGGGGCGGGGGAAGTGTGCTAGCAGCGGGGTGCCGTGGCGCGCGTAGGAGAGGGTGTGGAGGGAGGCGAAGAGGAAGTAGAAGGCGAGGCCCCAGTAGGTGAGGATGGTGAAGTAGGAGAAGGAGAGAGAAGCAGCATGCCAGACCTTCTTAGGCATCGAAATATCGAGGGATCGAGAGAATCGATCAATCCATTTGAGCCAGAAGAGCTATATCCAAAAGATCCTTAGAGTCTTCGGCATGGAAGCCGCTACTGAAAAGGATACCCCTATGGAAACCAACGCCTCCAAATTGCTTACTGCGAACACTGGGCAGGCCTTAGAAGTGGACACAAAGCTATTCCAGTCGATGATCGGATCGATCATGTATGCCATGATCCAAACCCGACCCGATGTCGCATTCGCAGTCTCATTCCTGAGCCGCCACCTTACGAACCCTACAGAGGCACATATAAAAGCCGCATACCGAATCCTGCGATACCTAGCTCACACGATTGGGCTCGGCATCACATATCACGCATCCAAAAAGGGGTTCTGGGGTTGCTCCGATTCAGATTGGGCAGGGGACATCGATACTAGATCATCTACATCTGGGTTCCTATTCTACTTCTACGGAGGAGTTATCACTTGGAAATCCGGACGGCAGAAGACAGTGGCACTGTCAAACACTGAAGCCGAATACTACGGCCTCTCGAATGCTGCTAGAGAAGCACTCTGGCTTCGAAGCCTACTTCGAAGCCTAGAATACAACGAAGGCCTTGATCCGGTCGTGATCGAAGGCGATAACCAAGGAAGTCTGGCGCTGACCGAAAATCCAGAGCTGCACCAGCGAACGAAGCATATCGATATTAAACATCACTTCCTAAGACAGGAAGTTGAAGAAAAACGAATTGGGTTCTCATATATTGAGACTACGAAGCTTGCCGCCGACGGCCTGACGAAGCCCCTTTCTGGAGCTCGCCACGCCAAATTCCTCAGGCAGCTCGGCCTAGAGGATTGGAGCTCAAAATCACCAGCTTCAGGACTGAAGGGGCGTGTTGAATCCTCGGCCCGGAAGCAGGGATCAGGGCCCTGATACCGAAGCTGTGTCAGCCAGCTTCGTGATCCTCCGGATCCTGGATCTTCCGATTCTAAAAGCTTCGATTCTGAAGCTCCAGGGAACGAACCGAAACCAGGAGGGTTTTAGGATCCGAACCACGAATAGGCACACCCGTAACAGTATATATAGTACTTAGAATAGCTTCAATTATAAAAACATGCATTATAAAATTATCACTTCGGGCCCTACTGCTTCGTGACTGTATTTTCGGCTTATATTCTCTACCTACTGCCCTACGGATATTGTCCAACAATATCCACTGGCTTTGACAATTTTGACGACCCAAGCGCGTTTGGCGATGAGAACATCAAGGAGTATTTCCCACGGGGGCCCCACGCGTCGATTCTCTTCACATCTCGGCACGCTGGAGTAAGGGATATGGGGCTAAGCATTGATGTAATGTCTATGTTGGATAAGGAGGCATTAGATCTTTTGCTCAACAGAAGCCACGTTGAGAGGTCTGATGCGAACATGCAAGAAGGGGCAAATATCGTCAAGCGGCTTGGATATCATGCGCTTGCCATCGACCAGGCAGGCGCTTACATTAAGGCAGGCGGGACTTACCTTTGCCTCTATATGGAACACTAGGCTGCGCACTGGGTACTCACGAGTCGAGTAGTAGAATTTTTACTCACCCAGCTGAGTTACTCGCTCATGTCCCGAGTATTGTTGAATGAGGATTACTCACTTGCTGAGTACCTAGTATGGGTCTTGGCAACTCAGTTATATCACGTGTTTGATTAGCCATTACTTATGTTAAAAACGGGGTGCGACTTCATTGATCAAGACGCCATAACTCCAACTCCATTCCCATATTGTTGATGTCCTATTCCACACTATAACCTTTGGCCTTTAGGTACCAGGTTACCAGATGGTTGCCAGAACTCATCTGACCTTCATTCCTGGGTGAGAGACATTTCCATCGATTAAGCCCACAGCTTAAACATCATATCCTGCAAACGCCGAACCAATATCATACCCTTTGCCTGAATTGTCACTCTCTTCGCATGAATAGCGAGGAGGTTTGTCACTATAACTGTTAGTATGTCCCTGTCACTATGTTTAAACATCATACTCTCAAATTCTCGAATGAGGAAGCATTCAGCAGCTTCCTAAAGAGCTAGGATAGCAGATTGCTGGAAGCGAAGATTGGACTTGAAGTCTTCTGTGATTTCCCTAACAAGACGCTGGAATGGGAGCTAGTATCAAGTTGCTGTCTTCTGATATCGCGGAGAGCCTTGGTGCCTATATGTTTATTAGAGAGTTCTGGTAATCCTCTGGTAATCCTCTGGTAATCCTCTTACTAGACTTTGTGCAGCGCGTGTCCTTCTGAGCATGATTGTTGCTAGCTTGAGATGAGCAAACTGGAGCTTTTCTTGCTGTGCCCACAGCCTTTTCCTGTCCCTTTCCGCCAAGCCCAGAGCCAGCCCGTAATCCAAGTGGCATCCTTGGTGCTATGCCGCCAGTTGATCTCCTAGCAGTTTGCTTGGTACGAGTCATTTGCTAATATCAAGGTGAGTTAGTAAAGTAAACACAAGATAAAGAAGTAGATCAAAAGATATGTGTACTTACAGTGAGTTTGTAGAAAGAATATTGCAGAAGAAGAGTATAGTAAAGAGGTAGAGGTTGAAAGGTATGTGTTTTATATGAAGGTGCGCATTGTGGTGTTGTTTTTGGAACAGTAATTCTTTGTAGGTGAATATTCCTTCACAAATATTTTTGTTTGCAACTTTAAAATAACCACGACCTTAGAACCACCTTCCTTGGTTACTCTCCGATCTACACATTCTTCTTCCCTTTTGAGCCTTTACCTCTTCACTAGGACTTCAACTAAGTTTATTATCTTGATTCTATAGCCAGAACTTCTGGAGATCTCTGCTAATCACGTGTTTAGTTAGTATGGCGAAACTCAAGGCACATGAAGAACTCTCCACTAATGCGAATACTATCAAAGCTCGCAACTGCGTCTCCAACCTTACTGAAGATGAGAAGGCTGTTCACTTAGCACTCAAGGCTGACCATGCTGATCTGAGCTACTACTTAAAGAAGTTATATAAGTCTGCAAAGTGTAAGGATGCCTCCTTACCTAGATACTCGAAGAACCCGCCTCAGAGCTGTTACGGTCACCACAAGCATGAAATCCGACTCGGTGTGGTTTCGGACCAGTAGAGGAGGACATAGCGAGTTACACTATAGTGGGGGACAGTAAGGGTGTAGGGTTCAGGGTCGATGCGGACCTGTTGCGGTGGAAGGTTCAGGGCTAGGGTTGGGATAACCGAGTCGGGCCCGTTTCGGGTACTTAAGGAAACAAACTTAACGGGGTTCCCCCTTCATCTTTTTTGTATCCTTCGTAGTAGACCTATAGGATAGCATCCTTTTAGCCTCCAACTCGCACTCTCATATGCTATTACTGTGAGCTGGGTGCCCTGTGTCATTACACAAAGTATATCGCTGCCTCTACTGAAGACAAGACACGTCTACAGAATGAATTGAAGGTTGAGCGTATTTGTGTTCGGTAAGTTCCTTCTGGTAATCTCTGGTAGCCTCAATCTAACTATAAACAGGACTGAGAAGGGTACCCATGCATCTTGCATTGCGAATCAGAAAGTCAAGAATATTAGCGCCTCTTCTTCTCCACAAGCCCCACCATCTACTCCGCCCAAACAACTTCTGTCTGAGCTTGCTGCATTTGAGGGTATCTCAAGTATTCCAATCGATGACAATCATAACAGCGAATGGGAGGATACTGAGGTTGAAGACGATTTGGAGTTGGAGCTTATGTTACAGCGCGAGATATTTTAAATGACGAGGCTGTTCTACCAGATGAGCTTTCCGATGAAGAGATCACTAGCACCCAGGCTCTCTTAACTCAAGCGCACATTGATGTATGCTACCTCATAATCTGGTAATATTCTGGTGATACTAATAGTTGATAGGCCCATGAAGAGTCCAATTTCCGCAAGTGGCAACATTTCTGGGATAGCTGTATCCACTCATATACGAGAAAGGCTGGAAAGCTGAGAAAGAAGCCTGAGCGTCTCTTTGAGTATATGCCGTGGATTGATGTAGAGGAAGGGTACGTCTCTGATCATCCTAGCAATCTTCTGGCAATACTAATTGTTTATTATAGCACTTTTCACGAGGTTATCCCACCACATAAATATTTCTGTTTGTACGAGCAGGCAGTTTGGAAAGTGGGCCTAATTACCAGGACCTGTGCAGTGGTACCCAAAGTCTTACAATCTTGTCGACAATGGATGGTTGCAAATATCCACTCATAGTTCTAGCTTCAAAGAGGCGTTCTTACTTGTCTACTCTAAGAAGTTTGATAAGGAAAAGTGGGCTAAGGTATCAGCTGCACAGGATATGTTGTTCCTGGAGCTAGAGTAGAGGAGAACTTGAGTTGCTAAAGTTATAGCGCTGGAGTACCTTTCGCGTTGGAAAACCAGGTATTTAAGTACTTCATCGTAGCCAGACTTCTGGTAACCTTCTGATAATCGAGCAATTTGCCAAATGCCATCTCAATACTCAGAGTTGTTTGATTCTGACAGTATTCTCAGACTCTTTTCCGTCTTCTCAACGACTATCCTCATTAAATTAAGTCTGTAAGGACACAGGGCACCCAGCTCACAGTAATAGCATATGAGAGTGCGAGTCAGGCTAAACGGATGCTATCCTATAGGTCTACTACGAAGGATACAAAAAAGATGAAGAGAGGAACCCCCGTTGGGTCAATCTCCTTAAGTACCCGAAACGGGTCCGACTCAGCTAACCTGCCTTAACTCTTTCATGTGACCGTAACCTGCCCGACTCAGATCCTTTCCATCACTGAGGGACAGGCATCCTTACAAAGTCCCTGCAGGCCTTGAATATATTGGCAAGTTAAACCAATTCGTCAAATGGACTAAGGATACACACGATATATTCATTGAGTGGTGGAAGCTATCACGATGGTATGAACAACACTCAGATCATACTACAAAACTCCTTATGAAGATTGCATGGGATTCAACCAACTGGAGTTCTCAATACTGGAGAAGTTATCACCAAGGAGCAGACC